TGGAATGCCTCCAGAACAAGAAGTAGAGTTCACAATTGATTTGACTCCCGGCTCTGCTCCTATTTCTAAAGCTCCCTACAGAATGACACCAAAGAAATTGCAGGAATTGAAAACACAAATTGAGGAATTATTAGGAAAGAGCTTTATAAGACCCAATGTGTCGCCTTGCGGGGCGCCATTGTTATTCGTTAAGAAGATATATAAATTTATGAGGATGTGCATTGACTACCGAGATTAAATAGGATCACCATCAAGAATAAGTATCCACTTTCTAGAATTGAGGATCTATTTGATCAATTATGGGTGCAGTAGTATTCTCAAAGATGGATCTGAGGTTGGGATATCATCAGTTGAGGATAAAAATTTAGAACTTGGTACGGACACTAGAGTTCTTAGTTTTGCCATTTGGGCTAACTAATGCTCCTGAAGTCTTTATGGATTTAATGAACCGCGTTTTCCGCAAGTATCAGATTAGTTTGTTATCGTATTCATCGATGATATCCTGATCTACTCAAAAAGTAATGGGGATCATGATGAGCATTTAAGGAGTGTCATGGATGTTTTGAAAAAGGAGAAGCTCTATGCCAAGTTCAAAAAATGTGAGTTTTGGCTGGAGTGAGTAACACTCTTTGGACATATTGTCATGGTCCGAGAGATAGATGTGGATCCTAGAAAAGTGGAGGCAGTGTTGAATTGGTCAAGGCCAACCAATGTAGGAGAAATTTGTAGTTTTTTAGGCTTAGTAGGATACTATCGGAGGTTCATTGAAGGGTTTTCCGAAATATCAAGACCGTTGACATAGTTAACATGAAAGGGTGTGAAGTTTGACTGGACAGAGAAGTGTGAACATAGCTTTAAGGAATTAAAACATAAGTTGGTGAACACCCCAGTGTTACGATACCCAATGGGTCAGGTCGTTTTGTGATCTATAGTGATGCTTCAAAGCAAAGTTTGGGATGTGTCTTAATGCAGCACCACAAAGTGGTTGCCTATGTATCGAGACAATTAAAATTACATGAACAAAACTACCATATGCATGACCTAGAACTTGACGCGGTGGTCCATGCATTAAAGTTTGGTAGCATTATCTTTACAGAGGTAAATGTGACATTTATACCAACCACAAAAGCCTCAAGTACATCTTCACCTAGAAGGAGTTGAATATGAGTAAAAGAAGGTGGCTTGAGTTAGTAAAAGATTATGATTGTGAAATTCATTATCACCCAGGCAATGCGAATGTGGTAGCTGATACCTTGAGTCAGAAAACAAGTCAATTAGTCATGTTGATTACGTAGGAACCACTATGGAGAGAATTTGAGAGATTGAATCTCAAGGTTGTCACCACTCAGCCAAGGATGGTCACTCGAGTAGCAACTCTCTCTATTCGACCCATACTCCATGTTAGAATTAAAAGACGTCAAAAGAGTATCAAGTTTGAGATTAACTTAAAAAGTGGAAGGATTTCACCATAGCTGAAGATAAAGTATTATATTATCAAGGGCGGATTTGTGTACCGGATTTCGAGAAATTGAAAAGAGATTCTAGAGGAGGCTCACTCATCTCCTTATTCAGTGCACTTGGGAGGCACAAAGATTAACAACTATTTGAAGGCAATATTTTGGTGGGAAGATATGAAGAAGGATATAGTTGATTATGTCAAGAAATGTTTGGTATGCCAGCAAGTGAAGGCCGAGCACCAGCGACATCAGGGTTACTTGAACTATTGGAAGTCCCAGAGTGAAAGTGGGAGCATGTAACTATGGACTTCGTGAATGGTTTTCCAAGGTCAGCAAGAGATCACGATGCTATTTGGGTCATAGTAGATCGACTTACCAAATCAGCTCAATTCTTGCCGATTCGGATGACGTTTACTATGGACCAGTTCGCGCAGTTATATGTGAATGAGATAGTAAGGTTACATGGTGTACTTGTTTCTATTGTATCAGATAGAGATCCAATGTTCACATTAAACTTTTGGAAAAGTTTACACCAAGCTATGGGAACTAAACTAAAGTTTAGTACGACATTCCATCCTCAGACGGATGGGCAGTCTGAGCGGAAGATTTTGGGGCCAGAGATTATTAAGTAGATAGTGCATGCAATTGAGAAAATTTGCGCTAACATGAAAATTGCCCAGGATAGACAAAAGAATTATGCAGATAGAAAGAGAAAGAGTCTGGAATTTTCAGTTGGTGATAAGGTATTCCTCAAAGTGGCACCAATGAAAGGAGTGCTATGCTTTGGCAAGAATGGTAAGTTGCGACCAATGTTTATTGGCTCGTTTGAAATCTTGCAACTTCTCGGGAACGTCGCATGTTAGTTAGCTTTACCTCCAAAACTTTCAATAGTACATGACATCTTCTATGTGTCAATACTTAGGAAGTACATCCCTGATCTGAGTCATGTGGTCAACCAATAGTCTATTGTATTATAAAAGGGTTTGAGCTATGAAGAAGTACCAATAAGAATTGTTAATAAGAAATTTCAAACCCTCCAGAACAAAGTGATCCCGCTAGTGAAAGTACAGTGACGTAATCACTCGGTTGAAGAGGCCACGTGTGAGTGAGAGGTGAAGATACGAGCCAAATACCCACAACTTTTCGATGAATTTCAAGGTAACAAAAATTTACTTTAAGAGGTGTAGATTGTAACACCTCGAAAATTTCCTTATAGTTGTTAATTTTGGAATTTAGGACCTTATAGTGAAATTTAAAAAAATAATAATAATAATCTAGGAATCAAATTGTTTGATTTACATAGTTTAGGGATCAAATCGTGGACTTTCCATAGTTAAGCAAATAATTGATTTTTTTTTTTTAAAACTTTCTTTTTTTGCCTTTTCTTTCCACCTTTGACCGTCACCATAATTAAATTCTTGAATAAAAGAAATTACTATAAGGGTCTGTTTGATTGTAAATGTAGAATTTGGGTGAAAAGAAAATATTTTATAGAGAATTAAATTGTCTAGAAAATATTTTAGTGGGAATTATAATTAATTATGTTTGATTGACATAATTTTCCACCTGAAAAATGTTGAAAATTTGGTATCCGTTTGACTTTGTTTTTCGTGGGAATTGACCATAAAAGTGATAATTTTTTTTTACCATTGGGTCTATAATTTGTTCTAATTGCGAAAACAAAAAATAAAAAATAAAAAAAGAAAAGAAAAGAAAAAAAAGGTGGAAAACATAAAACCACCAAAACCATGGGAAAACAATTTCATCAAAAAAGAGGAAAACTGAGCGCGTGAATTCCATGCTGGAAAAGGAGTTCCATGGATTTTTTGTGCTATCAAACATTTACTTAGTTGGAAAATGGAAAATGATTTCCTACTTCCATGAAAAAATGCTACAAATCAAACATGGCTAATTATATTAGGTAAATACTATAGTATATATGTATATATGCGTATAAATATGTATATATATGCTAAGCCCATGTTTGGTCGGCATTAAAATCTGATTTTAATTCAAGTTAAAGTCAAACAATCAATATTAACCACATCTTTCATGGGTCCCACAACTTTTCAACCACACATTTCAAAAACTTCTATCACAATCTACTAAAAATCTAATTTTAATCTCTACCAAACATAGTATATATGTATATATGCGTATAAATATGTATATATATGCTAAGCCCATGTTTGGTCGGCATTAAAATCTGATTTTAATTCAAGTCAAAGTCAAACAATCAATATTAACCACATCTTTTATGGGTCCCATAACTTTTCAACCACACATTTCAAAAATTTCTACCAAAATCTAATAAAAATCTAATTTTAATCCCTACCGAACACCCTCTAAATGAAATGATTGTAGTGGAAATAGGTGTGAAATTACTATAGATATAATGAAAGTAATGGAAGGTTTCATTTGTCACATAAGGAAAGATTTCAACTGTCACATCATGGCCATATTTAATTATGTCCATTACCTACCCACCAGACATCGCTATTTATTTATTTTTATTTTTATTTTGTTTAAAATGAGTGTTGTAATGTGAAATTTTGAGAATGTGTAATTAAAAAGTATGAAATTTTTTTAGATTTACGTGCAAAATATTTTATTAAAAGAATACGTTGTAGAAAATGAGTTTAAAAAAAAAAAAATTAGATAATAGGGGTTCAAACAGGAGCTTATTCTCGTTTAATATTATTGATGTTTTGTCCATTTGATCTTTACAATAGTCACTCACATAGTTTACACATATAAGCTTAACAGAAAAGTTAACTAGCTAGAACAGTCATCTCTATTGGGTAGTTATATTTGCATCACACTTTTAACCCGATCAAAAGTGAGGATTGATTTTCTTATATATATACATCACATTTTAATTGTATTATTGTCCCTAATCTTTATTAATTGTTATCATGAATTTCAGAACTTTTTTCATCATATTCTTATCATTTACCTTTCATCGATTGGCAAATTTTGTTCCTAATGACAGTTTCCATACAAAATTTTTGTTATCGTGCTTTAAACCGATCGATAAGTATTTAATCATAAATTTGAATTTATTTTTATTTTACTACTTATTAAATATACGAGAGGTAAATAAATATTTTTATTCCCTTTTAACGAAATTTTTGACTGAAATCATTATCTGAAACAAGATGTATTAATTAATGAAAGAGCGAAGATAAGAATACAATGAAAAAAGAACATTGGAAACATAAGTGTGATAATTACTAAATGTTATGACCATTTCATACAATTAAAATGTTGTTCACTTATAAGGAAATGTGGTGTGAATATAATTATCCCTATTTCTTGACTCGTTGGGTATTTTTGGAAGGTGGGCCCGTAATAATATATCCCCATTTTCTGCTTCGTATCCTTATTTATTTATTTAACTTTTATATTTTTAAATACGATTTATATTTAGTAACATAAAAATGAAACATGAGAGTCGGGACGAATTTGGGTGAAAACCATGTTCCCCATCTCCATCCTAATTCGTTGACGCACCAGGGAGGGGATGGTAAAATACTCTTATCGATGGTCTGTCATGATTATGGTAAAACCTACTTTAATGGGGTGAGGACGATTTTGCTACGAACTAAGGTTAGGGGTGATTCTGCACAAATAGGAAAAAGGTTAAGGACTAAAGATACAATTAATCCTGAAGTCAAAATTCGTACCTTTTGTATACCTCAATTTTCCCTAACATCAGAAACAACTCAGTCTGCCTCCGCCGAAGCCGTGCCGTGGCCGCGCCACCGCCGCCATACCAAGGTAAATATTTTGTTCTAACACATTTATTCATCACATATTTTGATATCCTCTTTCCGCGTTTCTGTTAGATTTTTAACTGGTGATTCATTTTTTTCAGGCGAATGATTTTTCTTTAAAAAAAAATATTTTTTCTCCTTATATTGAATTTTTTGCTTTCTGATCCTGTAAGGAGTCTGGCTTTTCTCTATTTTTTGTGCATTTCTTTCAAGCTACATAGCGTTCTCGTTTATTCTTTGGTTTTGTAGCAACTGATTTGTAATCTAAGATCAGCAGTTTAATAGTCGTGTTTTTTTTCTTTTATTTAAGAAATCAGCATTTTTGGAGGTCTTTTCCCCTTTAAATATTATGAACCAGCGAAGAATAAACACATAGGGCCTTCTTGCCAGATTTTTTCCACTGATTTTGACTGCATCTGGGTGACACTGTTCACGAGATGTTGAGAAAACAAGTTATTTGTTAGTTTATTGGGGGCGCTGGATTCAGTGTATTGTAATTTGGGTTGTAGTTCTCTACTCAACAAATTGGTGATTTTTGGGCTTTTCAAATTTTCTTCCAATTTTACTGTCTCTAAAAACATCTATTTCCAAATCTACCCAAAAAAGGAATTATGGTTGGACAAGAAGAAAAGAAATCCTCTTCAAATAGCTCTCTCTCTCCAAATGCTTCAGAACTTACCCACTCTTCAGATCTTTCATCAGGTACTCTCTCCTCTTATACTTGTTCGATTATATCTAGTTCCTTATTAGCTTCTTAAGATTGTTTGGTGGATTCCATGAATGGTATCATTTTTTTTTCTTGTGAATACATTTTAAAAGTTCAATTTAAAGCACACCAAACCGAACTAAATAAATGAGGCATCTTTGTACTTAATGGCAGTATATTCATTGTTACTATCAAACCCTCATTGCTTTCTAGACTAATTTATGTCATTTATTTATGGTTATCATTGTATGTGATTTTTGTTTCTAATTGTTTATTTTTATGTTATGTCTTTTAAGTCTACAATTTTGTAATGTTAGATGGCCGTCAGTCACTGTTTTGATGATGATGATCTTATCATGTATATCTCCATGCGTGTACATCTTATCCATATGATGTTTCTCCTGCTACTGGACTTAAATTAACACAGCAGCCTACTGCGTGAACTAGTTCAACTTTGAATTGAATCATTTGCCAATGCATTTGTATAGTAAGAGAGTACGAGATGAAGTAATGGAACTTGTTGCGGGATCAAGTGGTCCACATTTGATTCAATTGAGTCGCGCATCATTTATTAACTTTTGTATTATTTTAGTAAGGGAAGGCAGACTTAGTGAAACTCTACGAGCCACAATTGAAGATCAAGTTGCTAAATTTCTTTGGATTTTAGGGCTACACTTCTTATAGATAAAGTGTTATTGTAGTGTGCAAACCAATCTTCTTCAAATGACAATGAGTTGTTGGTGAATCTAGTTGAGATTAGGGTTGAAGATGATGATGTGTTGCTCAATAATGTTAGACTTTTCTTCTTGAAAATCCTATAAAGTTGTGGGTATTTTACTAATTTTCGTGGCACCATTTCAAAAGCATATTATTAATGAAGACGTGTCAAAATGCAGAGAAATAATTGAGTTCAAATAGTTATCTTGCAACTTATGTTTTGTTCAAAGCTGATGGATGTCAACTCTTAAGAAATATTTAGTAGAAAGAGCTTAAATGTACCTACTCATAATAATTAGCTCCACAATTGTGTTCTTTTTTCTTCATCTTATAATCCGATAGAAAATAATTGTCATGCAAGAGCTTATTGAAAGTAAGAGTAATTATTCCAAGGTGAGTCCATCACAAGAGAAATGATTGAGTAAATTATGTAAAGCTACTTTGAATTGCAAGGAGTGATAGGAATTTGCTTCATACTGCATTTTTTACATATAGATATATATGTAATTTTATTCTTTTAAAAAACTTTCAGAATTGTTGGATAATAAACTCTCATGGATCAAACTTTTTTAAAAATCACCGAAAATGGGTACTTTATAAAATCTCTGTAACTGGTACCCAAAACTCCCAAGTCCCAACCCAGGCCCTTACAGGAACATGCGTCTTCACATTTAAACATGACATGACTTAGGCCTCAAAGCATAATATATGTGTAAAACAAAGATCAGAGATCATTCACATAAAGTATTTATGCAATATAACATTGCTACATTAACGAAAGATGACTATTGTTGTGATTTCTTTTTGTTGATTTAACTTATTAGTAATGCCTTCATATGTTGAATTATGTTCTTGATAATGCCGGTTAGAAGATATGGATTTTAACTATAACGCTGGAGACTATTAGTTATTTGTTTCTTCTAAATATGCATTTTCTAGATTTCTATAGTTAATTGTTGCTATAGGTCTATCAAATATATATTTTTGTTTTATATTAATTGACATGACCTAGCTGTCTTGTGTCTTTTGTTTTTTCAGATTACGGTATTCCATGTTCCAATTTTGTCATATTTTTCTTGAGATGGATGCGTTCACTAAACATGTACCAATTTTGACTCGACTTTATTTATGGAATTATTTGACCATTATGGTTTTGTATTCAAACTTGCTCTAAAAAAGAGAAGAAAATAAAGCTATAGATTTCGCATACTCTAAATATAGCCTAAAGATTATCATCTTGTTTGAAATATAAATTCCATTAACCGTGTTGCAATCAATATTTCTTCTTTTGCCATTATTGTGTCCTATTCTTTCTAATGATTTTGTTTCTTCTCATATTGACAGTTCTGTTGAAAACGGAAGGAAGCTCATCAAATGTTGCTCCTGAAACCAAATCTGTCACCCGTCCCACCTCTTCACAAAAGGCATCTAAAAGGCTTTCGGATTCAATAACAAATTTTACCGTTCAGTGTGCCAACTGCTTAAAATGGAGGTTCATCCCCACAAAGGAGAAGTATGAGCAGATACGAGAAACAATAGTGGAACAACCTTTTGTTTGTGAAATGGCTCATGAATGGCGTCCTGAAGTGACATGTGACGTCGAACCAGATCTTGTGAAAGATGATGGCAGTTGGCGTTGGGCAATAGATAAGCCCAGTATTCCTAAACCACCTCCGGGCTGGCAACGAATTTTACGACTCAGAGCTGAAGGAGGCACAAAATTTGCCGACGTGTATGTTTGGGAATTCCATATTTTTGCTAGCTCATTTAGAAAAGGCTTTGAGCTATGGAAATGTCATTTTGACTTCAATGGGGTGGTGTCATTTTTTCTAACAGGTATTACGTTCCTCCATCATCGGGCAAGTGGCTACGAACAACAAGGGAAGTTGAGAGGTACAATTTTTCTGTTGATGGTCATTAAAAGCTGCTTAGGTTTTTTATTCTGAAGGTTCTATATTTTAGACTCCAAAATCTTTTGCTTTTACTTATTTTGAGTGTTTCCCTACGTTCTTTCAAGGTACCTAAATGAGCATCCAGAATACATAGGCGTAACAATGTCACAGTTCTCCTTTCAGACTCCTGTACCATTGGAGAAAAATTATGTTCGAAAGCGTCTTGCCCGTTCTTCTGCTTCACATGACACAGGTGAAGCTGCGATGCCAGGTTTGACGTTTGATGCTGACTTAATAAGATTTCCAAATAGATCCATATTTGCTTTTGTATTAGGTCTTCATGTTAACATATTTCCTTACATATTCTCTGCCATATTATGTTTCTTAGATTGTCAGATTATAGTTAGGCTTGATTTGAATAATTTTTATGATAGTTGCTGCCATTCCCATATCTTGGATTGCTCCAGACCAGATTGGAGATTTGCACTTTGGTGGGGAAGGGAGCTCTCATGTTGAGTCACCTGCAGAAAGTTGAGGTATTTTTGTTATTTACAAAAATGCCTAAATTGTTCTATTTTCTAGTGAAGCATGTAGCTTTAATGTTCTTTTTTTTTTGTGTGTGGGGGGGAGGAGGGTGGAGGGGTTCTGTGTATTTATCTCTCGGGCCATGCCATAAAATTTAGATATGTTTCACATATATTGTTTATCTCGTCATCTCTTTATGAATTATTACCCATCTATTAATTTGTAAACACGTTTGAAAATGTCTCACCTACAATGTTAGTTTACATGTTTTTGCTTCATTTCTTATATATGAAAGAAAAATTTAGCTAAATTCCTTTATATTATACTGCCCAGTCGTATCTGTGAACACTAGTGACATATAGAAGAAAGGTCATTGATATCTTTGAGTCGCTTTACTTCCTTACATTGTTCAGAAATAATGGAGGTTTCCTCGTTTTTGGTTTCAGGATGGCATAGCCATAATTCCTACTGCAGGCAGCGGACGTTGGTTAAATACGTCACAACACTTCATAGCATAACCTGTAATGTATAATATGTATGTTTATTGTTACGATTTCGTGAAGACTGTAAAACTGTGGTACGTGATAATTTATGTTTTCTTGTGATTGTCTTCATTTTCCCTACTTTGTTATCAGAGAAAATATGGGATTATATATAGTACAAAAGTATGGGGTGTACTATATATAGAAATGTTTAACACGAACTCCAGATCGATGGTTAGAGGTATCATAAGTCTCTACATATTTTTCCATAGATGCATGAAGATAATTAATTTCGTTGATGTGGTCTAACTTTATTAAGGATTATAGACGACGTTTTCTGTGAATTACAGGAAGAAATATGTCAACAAATGGACAACCAGCATCCACAAATGTCGATAACCGGGTAATCTGTGAACCGAACAATAGATTTTAGTAGATTTTACAACTTTATGGATTATACCTATGATCACTCAATTACTAATGAACGCAAAATACGGAGAACATGGGGGACCTTCAAGTATGAGTAGTGTTATTTAGTCCTATTGGAGTTATAATTAAATGATAAATACAATTAAATGAGTTATTTAATTTCACTTTTTATTTAACATCACTTAATACCACATAGACTGAGGTTTAAATGATTTAAGTATAATTAAATGAGTTATTTGATTTCACACTTCATTTAATCAATTATCTAACACCATATAGATTGAGGTTATAACACCATTGGAACTAAATAACATTATTCAGTAAGTATTGCCTTGATCTCATAGATAACAAGCAGTAGGAACAGAGAGCGAGAACAAGAGAAATTGACAATAAATTTTTAATATTAAAGGGACAATTGACTGGGTCTGAAGTTGAAGCCTAAATCAGCTCGTTTAAGCCATCTGGTATTTATAATCTACCTACATATCCCCATTTTGAGCTACCCTGTTTGGGAAAAATTGTCTCCTCGCAGAGGCTCTATTTGGAAAATTGTTAAAACAAATCTTTCAGTTCAATGGGACAAGATTTTGTGTAGATGAGTTTTTCTTAATAGTGATTTAACACAATAGTTAGACCTATTTTAATTGTAACAAATTTTGAACATAAAAAGGAGGAATCATGTTACATGTACAATCTAATTTGACAATATTGATTGACAATTCACACTGGCAACATCACATTCACCCATTTAAAAAATTATTTTTTAAATTATGATCCCAATTTTGATAACACCACCATTGTCAATTATTATTTTGAAGTATTATTGTATATATAACGTAACTGAAAAAAGAGAGACACTCATAAGAGTCATTTAGTGAATTGTTACGTGTTATACATCAAGTTTGTTGATGAGATTGTCCCATCAATATGAATAAATCATATAGGAGAGCAAAGAGAATAAAACAAGTTTGGCCAAGCTTAAAAAGCTTACCTATATGAGACATTTTTATTATTGAAGTTAGGAGTAAGTTATTTAGTTGGGTAATTGGTGCAAAACGTCCCTACCTTTGACGGGTTTTGTCCAAAACGTCCCTACGTTTCGTTTCTTGATGCAGAATGTACCTACATTTCACATTTTTGGCGCAAAACGTCATTTCTCTATTTTTTTTGACTATTTTACCCTTCTTTTAAAATAAAACGAAAAAGAAAAAAAAAGAAAAATACATAATAAATTGCAATTATGGGTCCAAGCTTTTAAAAATATGCAAATAAGTCACAAATATGAAAAAATCATCACCCCATAAGCCACCACCTTTGAAGGAAAATTCCTCAACCTCCGATCACCTTAGCCGCCAAACCAACATACCACCTTGAAGCCCTCATTGCCCTCTTCACAACACACCCAACCACCAGCCCCAAATCCGGCAGATTTGGCCGGAAATCAAATTCAAAAATTACAACGCAGGCAACTCGCGAGTTCACACATGCGAACAATTCAGACGAAAATTGAACTTGTTCTGGGCGTAATTGGGTCTGACCCATTAGTGGGTCAGCTGCTCCTGATGAAGGCGAACCCAACCCAGGTGGTCCTCGACCCTGGGTTGGCCGGACGGCGCCAAAATCAGAGTTCTTCAGAGCATAGAGAAGAGCTCGCGATTGGCGTTGTTTCATGAATTAATTCAATTTGATGGTGTGTTGTTTGGAGTGAATTGGGGCCATATTCTGTGTCTCCTGGACCTGGACAGACAGTTAGTGGTAGTTCGCGACCATGACGGTGGCCGGAGGAGAGATTTCCGGCAGGTTGTAGAATTTCGATTTGCTGGTTTTGATGCATGATTTCGACCGTATAAGTAGATGAAATGGGGAGTTCTTGGGTGGAAATTGTAGAGGATGTTGAGGAGATTAAGTTGGCAATGATATCCGGCGGTATTAGTGACAGGAATGAGGTGGAAATTGGGTCCATAACTGTCGGCTAGGAGATTAAGAGAGTTTTTTTTTTGGTTCGTTTTAATATTTTTATAAGTTTTGGACTCATTTGCATCTTTAAAAAAGTCTAGGAGTAAGATTGCAATTTATTCTATATTTTTCTTTTCCTTTCTTTTTGTTTCATTTTAATAGAAGGGTAAAATGGTCAAAAATTGGGGAAAATGACGTTTTGCGCCAAAAATATGAAAGGTATGGACGTTCTGCGCCAAGAAACGAAATGTAGGGACGTTTAGCACAAAACCCGTCAAATGTAGGGACGTTTTGCGCCAATTGAGTTGTAAAACAATCTATACCTAGACACCTCTAGTTGATTATTGAGTTGTAATATTTAGATCTGTTGTATTCTTAAGTTTCTTCTTGTAATATTTCTCTTCCCAAATGGTCTTTTCGTTGCAATTTCCTCAAAATATTACTGTAATCGTAAATAATTTAGATTTAAAATTTGATAAAACTAACCCGCATAATGCCATCCAGTGAAAAAGATAACACAGAGAATATATATTGAAAGAATAAATTAAAAGTTACAAAGCAATCCTATCGTGTGCAAATTTAAATACAAGATGACTTATACATATGGGTATATACATGTAACAGACTCAGCACAGAATCTGTTCCTCTCTCTTGAAGATTTACACAACTCAGTGGTCCTTGAATCTTAAGGGTGGAAACCATGCCAACTTGGATGGAATTAGTTGATGTTGTTATAGAGAAGAATGGTCTAGAACCTCAGCCCATGTGCAAGATATATTTTCTTCACCTTCAGTCCTTGCTTTAGTATCTTTCAAATATTGGCCCCTGATTGGCCCCTGATGTTTTCTTCTTTAACACCTCCCCTCAAACTGGAAGTGGTTTCAAACACTCCCAGTTTGTCACAAAGATATTTATGCCGTGAATGATTTAGAGGTTTAGTTAGTACGTCGGCTACCTGGTCTGCTGTAGGAACGTATTGAATTATGAGTTGCTTTTCGAGTACCATGATACACTGGGTTCGAAGCTATTGCACTTGCTTCCAAGTTGTCACACCAAACCTTCAGAATCCCTGCCTGTGGTATGTTCAGTTCTTGAAGAAACGATTGCACCCAAGTTATTTCAGCTGTAGTATGAGCCAATGCCCTGTATTCTGCCTCAGTACTGGATCTCGCCACCACTGGTTGTTTCTTAGAAGACCATGAAATCAAACTCTCACCTAAATAAACACAGTATCCCATGGTTGATCTCCTATCATCTGGGTGGGCTGCCCAGTTTGCATCCCCAAATGCATTGATACTGAGTTCCTGTGTTCCTTGAATAATTAAGCCAAGATCAAGTCTTCCTTTTACATATCTAAACAGCCTTTTCAATAGATTCCAGTGTACATCTGTCGGATTTTGTAAGAATTGGCTCACCCTGTTGACAGCAAAGGTAATGTCCGATCGTGTATGAGTGAGGTATTGTAGCGCACCTACTGTACTTCTGAACTGAGAAGGATTTTGTAGAATGGTTCATTCATCCTTAGCTACAAGTTTCCCTGCTGCCATGGGTGTAGCACTAGGTTTTAGGTGCTCAAAGCCAAACCTTTTTAGAATCTCAGCTGCATAACTTCTCTGTGACATATGTAGACCAACCTCATTTCTGTATAAATCAATACCCAGGAATTTCTTCAGATTACCCATGTCCTTTAGTGTGAAGGATTTATTTAGCTTATCAATGACTTCTTGCAGCTTTGCTTTTGAGTTTCCAGAAACTATAATGTCATCAACATAAACTAGTAGAAAGATTATTTGATCTTTAGATGTTTGGTAGAAGACTGAGTTATCAGCTTTCGACTATTTGAATTCTCAGCCTAGCAAGGTCATCCTCAAGGTATTATGCCAAGCTTTAGGAGCTTGTTTCAAGCCATACAAGGCTTTGTTGAGCTTGCACACGTGTGAAGGTTTGTCTTGATCCACAAATCCCTGTGGCTGCTCTAGGTAGACCGTTTCCTCAAGCTTTCCATTGAGAAAAGCATTATTGATATCTATTTGTCTAATCACCCAGCCTCTTAAGACAGCAAATGTGAGAATTATTTTCAAAGTTGGAGCCTTAGCCACTGGACTGAACGTCTCATAATAGTCAATCCCTGGAGTTTGTGAGAAACCCTTTGCAACTAATCTTGCCTTGTGCCTTTTTACTTTTCCCTCTGAATCAGTTTTGTTTTTGAACACCCACTTGCTTCCAATGATTTTCATACCAGCTTCAATTGGTACCAATGTCCAGGTTTGATTCTTCATTAGAGCATTATATTCTTCGTTCATTGCTTTCCTCCAACTTTCATCTCCAAGAGCTTCAATGACATTAGCTGGTTCTATTTCTTTTAATGAATTTGAGATGCCTGCAGCATAGACTTTTGGCTTGAAAATCCCATCTTTAGCTCTAGTAACCATGTGGTGTCTAATGTCTTTTGTAGTATCAAGAATATCTGCCTGATTAGATTCATTCACTTCCTGACTTGTATCATCGTTTTCATAGGTAGCTTCTGCCAGAAATTCATTTTCCACATCTTCTTATGTTGGTTGTCTGTTCAACTCAAAAACATTATCCACACTTCTTAACTCTTCACTGCCTACACTTTCAGAGAAAGTCTCTACTGCAGGGATAGCCAG